AATGGAAAGTGGCCCAGCTACATTGGAAAGCAATTAACAGAGGTTAACCACAAACAGTTAACACTGAGTTCCTGTATGATCCTGCAATTCTACTCCCAGGCTCATTCAAAAGGGAAGTGAAAGCATGTCCACCCAACAATTTGCCCATGGGTGTCCACAGGAGCAGTACCGATAATGTCCAAAAATGTATAAAAAATTCCAAATGTACATGAACTGATGAATGGAAAAAGGAAATGTGTATATCTACATATCAGAATATAAGCATACATTTGGCCATGGAGAGGGGTGAATATTTTTCTTTTCCTTTTCAAAACAGTTTTCTGAGGTAGTGTCTTGCTGGCATGTAGTCCAGGCTGGCACATTGACAAACATAACACACATAAATATAATTTGTGAAAATTTTACTTCACTTTTTTGTTTTGTTTTGTAGACAAGGTTTCTCTGTGTAGCCTTGATGGTCCTGGAGCTCACTCTGTAGATCAGGCTGACCTTGAACTCACAGAGATCAATTGCCTCTGCTTCACAAGTGCTAGGATTAAAGACCTGTGCCACCACCACCCAGCTCACTTTTTTATTTTAAAAAAAATCATTTATTTTGATGCTGAAGAAATGGCTCAGTGGTTAAGAGTACTTGTTGCTTTTCCAGAGGACTTGGGTTCGGTTCCCAGCATCCAGATGGTGACTCACAGTAATCCTAGTTACTGGTAGTTATATGCCTCCTTGTGTGCTCTTAACCTCTGAGCCATCTATTCAGCGCTCTAAGCTGTTATTTTAAAAAGCAACTATGCCAGGTGATGTGGTGTACCCCTTTAGCCCTAGCACTTGAGGCCAAGGCAAGGATCCTTGCAACTCTCAGGCCAGCCTAGTCTACATAATGAGTTTGAAGCCAGAGCAACATAGCTATACCCTGTCTCATGAAACCAGAAACTACAACAAGGCAATTGAGTCAGGTCTCTTGTGACCTCAGTCAAAGCTACACTGGGCTGGTGGGAAGTGACAGGCAGACAAGCAAGTCACAGAGACGACTGTGATGGCTGTGCTGGCCACAAAGGTAGATGGGTATGGATGGAAGTAGGGCTGTTTATTACGCCATAAGAGGTACTGTGGCATTACATAACCTGTCTCACCAGCCCCTTTTCCTGACACTGACCAGACAGGACAGGCCAGTCACCTGCCACTGAAATGTAGCCACCTGGAAAAACCACATGCAGCCTGCCTTTGAACACCTTCCTTCTCGTGTTCATTCCCACTGACCACTTTCTTCTTAAGGCAACTTAGGCTGGCCAGATTGAAGCTCACGGACTCCAAGAGCAACTTGCAACTTTTGCAGGGGTGAAGGGAGCTCTCTGAAGCCAGCAAGGGGAAGGAGACCCAGCAGGATCACAGTCCATTTACCTCATTTCCCTTACTTACTTTCTTTTAGTTGCTATGACAAAATACCTAACAAAAGCAACCTGAGGAAGGAAGAAGGGTTTATCCCAGCAGCTCACAGTTTGAGGGAATGTGGTCCATGATGGAGGATGACAGTGCAAGGCAGCTGGTCACATGGCATTCACAATCAGAAGGCAGAAAGAGTTTCATGCCCAGTGCCTCCTTGACTTTCTCCATCTTCACTCTTTATCCAGTACAGGATAAAGCACTGCCCCCATTCAGGTTGGTGGCTGTCTAGTTATTTTTCTATTGCCAGGACCAAACAGCACAACCAAGGCAACTTATAGAAGAAAGCATTTAGGGCTGGACAGATAGCTTAGTGATTAAGAGTTCTTCCACAGGACCTGGGTTCAATTCCCAGCACCCACATGGCAGCTCACAACTGTTTGTAACTCCAGTTCCAGTGGACCCAGCATCCTCACACAGATATACATGTAGGCAAAACACCGATGTACATAAAATAAAAATAAATAATTTTAAAAAGAAAGCATTTAATTTGGCAGTTCACAGTTCCAGAGGGTTAGAGCACATGGTCACCGCGGTGGGGAGCATGGCAGCAGACAGGCAAGCATGGTGCTGGAGCAGTAGCTGAGAGCTCACATCTGATTCACAAGCATAAGGCAGACAGAAGGAGAGGCCTACAGGAAATGGTGTGGGCTTTTGAAACCTCCTCCAACAAGGCTATGCCTCCTAACCCTTCCCAAACTGTTTTACCAACTGCAGTTGGTGGGGGAGACAAGCATTCAAACATATGAGCCTATGGAGGCCATTTTTATTCAAACCACCTCAGTAAGGCTTTTCTCATCAGCTAAATAAATCTTTCCAGAAACCTCTGGATATACCCAGGGGTATGTCTCTTAAGTGAGTCCAAATCCAGTGACGTTGACAGTGACATACTACCTGCTAAAGCATCCATTCTGAAGTCCATTCTGGAGATTGCTGGGAGCCCCAAGGGATGCTGCTGGGAGTCTTCATTCTCTTTCCCTTGCAGCTCCTCTAGCCATCCTCTGTTCCCAGAGGAGATATAGGTCCTACCAGTTACTCCACCTCAGCAACGGGATTCCTGAGCAGTGCAGCCCGGGCTGCCTTACTGAAGTGGTGAAGAGAACCCGTTACCAGAGGTCAGCTGTGGCCCGTGCTTCCTGCGGATTTAGATGTGTAGCCTTGTAGGACCTAGCTGCAACTATGTCTATGTAGAACCAACTCTAAATTCAGCCTCAAACCACAGACCCTGCCATAATCTCCAACCTCTAATTAGTATGTACTCTGTACAGGCTACCAGTTCCCCAACAACCAGGACACTGAGAGTCTCGGATGCTGAATTGGAGACTGGATCTGGGAAGGAAACTGATGGGGGTCTAGCACCTAGAACTTTTCAGAGTCTGCCAAAGGGAGGGACTCATGTAGCACAAGTTGGCCTCAAATTCTCTAGCTAGTCAAAGCTGGCCTTCAACTCCTGATCCCCCTTAGTTCCCATGTAATATATTATCATATACATTTACCAGCCAATTCTCTTAGCATTCAATCAGAGCCTTCGGGTTTGCATAGGCTGACTGATCTTGGAGGAGGTACTCACTGTATTTGGCTTTCTAGGTGCCTACATTTATTCCATCTGGGTCAGAGCCAGCAAGTAAGAAATGTTTACAAATTGGGGCTCAAACAAGTTCTAAGGGATTAGGGCAGAAGGAGGCTATTCTAGTTTGTTTTTCTGTTGCTGAGATAAAAGAAACTTATGGAAGAAAGGGCTAATTTCACATTTTACAGTCCATCAGCAAAGGAAACCAAGGCAGGACCCTGGAGGCAGGTACAAAAGCAGAGACCATGGAGGCTGCTGTGTACTAGTTTACTTCCCACCTGGCTTGCTCAGCTACTTTGCTTTCTTTCTTTCTTTTTTATTTTTTTGTTTATTTATTTAATTTTTATTTATTTTTTTTTCCGAGACAGGGTTTCTCTGTGGCTTTGGAGGCTGTCCTGGAACTAGCTCTTGTAGACCAGGCTGGTCTCGAACTCACAGAGATCTGCCTGCCTGTCTCTGCCTCTCGAGAGCTGGGATTCAAGACTTATGCCTTCTACTCCTGGCTCAGCTACTTTTCTTATACAACCTGCCAAGAGGTCCCACAGTGGCCTGGGACCTTCCACATTAATTAGTGATCACAAAAATGCCCCACAGACAGACATGTCTACAGGCCACTCTGAAGGAGGCAGTTTCTCAACTGTGATTACTTTTCCTACATAAGTCTAACTTGTGTTAAGGTGACAAAAACTAACCAGCACAAGGGCCTTGTGCGGTCAATTCTCTCCTGAAGAGCAAAGATGTTATTTAGTAACTAAAAGGGAGGCTCTGAGAAAGCCAGTAGTGAATGGTCTGTTGGTGTGGGTCATTTGTTTTGTTTAATTTAACTTATTTATTTTGAGACACTCTCACTGTGTATCCCTGGCTGGTCTGGAACCCTCTATGTAGTCCAGGTTGTCCTTGAACTCACAGAGATCCATCTGCCTCTGCCTCTCACACCAGTCCCTGACTAGTTCTGTTTTTGAGACAGAATCAATAGCTAATAGCCGGTGCTGACCTCAAACTCCCCACATAGTCGCCGGATGTAGTTCAGGAATGACTTTGAACTTCTGACTCCCAGACTCTACCTCCCGCATGCTAAGAGTGCTGATTTGTGTAGCTATGCCCAGTTTATGCAGTGCTGGGGTTGAACCCCGATTCTCCTGAGGTATTCATCCTACCGACTGAAGTACATCCCCGGCTCTAGGTCTGTAGCACTGTTTCCCAAGCACATTTGTCTGAAGGATCCCCTGGCAGCTCTCCCCACAGTAAACTCCTGCACCTAGCATTGCACCCCTTGGCCACCCTCTCCTCCCACCCGGGGCGGGCTGGGGGTGGGGTGGGTGGTGGACACACATACTCCTCTCCTCATTTGACGAGGTACAGCCCTCTGCACCTCCACCTGCTGAGTGCGGTACAGAGATCTTTAAATAACCACCGGGACCTCCTCCTCTCCTTCTCCTCACACTGTAGCTTGAGTCACACTGAAACTTTGCCTTTTCCCAGCCTCCCTCTC